CAGGAATCTCACTTAATCAAGTGAATTACTTCTTGCCGCAGCTTTAGAATCAACGCTCGCCGTTGCAAAAAGGCCAGCAGAGTGCAAAAATGAATGTTATGTTCAAGCTCTTGAGAGGCAGGTATTTTAAGCAAGATTTAAATGGGCCAGTTTGAAACATCACAACTATGCAAGGGTGAAGCTAGACTTAAAAGGAGAGAGGATATCTAAAGCAGTGTTTCTCAACCTTGGCGACTTTAAGTCCTGTGGACTTCGGCTCCCAGAATTCCCCAGCCAGCGAATGCTGGCTGGGGAATTCTGGGAGTTGAAGTCCGGACATCTTCAAGTTGCCAAGGTTGAGAAACACTGATCTAAAGCTTTATCTGAAAATACACAAAAGGACTTTGATCCAGTTCCAGATCAAAGAGATAATTCCATAGCTAGAGAACCAGCCAAGTGGATTTTATCTGCTGCTTTGAAGTTTAAGTCTGCAAATTCTTTCAACTTGGCTTTGACTTCAAAGGAGATAGATTCCTACAAAGTCTGAGGAAGACTGGATGGATTTATTACAGTTCATTGGCAATTACTTCTTCTTGCACTTGGATTAAAAGATAAGACCTATTTTGGAGACTGAATTTACTATTTTTAATTAAACAACAATTGACTAGAGAGGATATTAAGAAACAAACATAGGATATTTGTTCCAGGAGGATTTCTTTATAACTTTTGGGATGAATTGGGATAGATGCCATGGTAAGTTCTTTACAAGTCGATTGCAATAATAGCCTGTTAACAGAGAGCTTTGAAACTTTTATTATTTTACTAATATCGTTTTTTTCTGTTAACTACTTGGTCATTAATATAACTTCATGAAAACAGGTCAACAAGTTGCAAATAGATTTAGCATTTTAAACATTTTGGGGGGGTTTGTTTTGCAAGGGGTAGGAAATGTTATAGTAATATATTAATCAGTATTCAACTAGAGGGGCCAATGTGTGTACAATGTCTTTTTGAGGCCCCTTTTTAATACTTTGATTCTTTTGTGTTTTGTGGGTTTTTTTGTCCTTCTGGTTTGATTTATTTTAGTTCTGTATTTTGTATTTTAACCTTGTTTTGAATAAAATGAAAACTTGTGGAAAACTTGTGGGCTTAATAATTAATGCAGGATCTGAACAAATCAGAATAAAAATATTTTAAAACTACATTTGCTATTTTTGCAGTCACATTGCACTATTCGTCTGTGCACATCTGCTACCAAGTTAGAATAAATCTCACTAAACTTCTTGCCTAAAGGAAACTTGCAAAAGATCTCATTTGTTCCCTAAATAATTGTTTAATACATAAATCATCTGCAAAGTAGGTGAAAAGTAGGATTAAGTGCAGGAAGACAGGTCTGGTATCAGAAAAGGACAAACCTGAGCTCGTTGGGTAATGAGCTGTGACGCATTAAACTTTGCTACCACACTTTTGAGTACTTCATTCACAATGGAAGGAAGAACCCGTTCTTCATAGTCTAGTCCAAGTCGCTGATATAAGCTGGGCAATTCTGCAGCATTGGGTCTTGATAGAACACGCAAGGAAATATTCACCATCTGCAGATCTAGAGAAGAAATAAAGTCAACCACAATCTCTAGAGTGCATTCTATTTTATTTTTCAAGTCTGATTATATATATCCAATTACATCACCCAGAATCAGGTATTCTGAGGTCCTTAATTTACATTATGCCCAGAGAACTGTATGCTCTTCCATGAAGTACAAACAGAAGGATGTCAAAATGCAAAACTCTAAATTATGGAAGCAGAAACCCCACAATGCACCACTCATAGATTTCAATGATTCTGTGACATCATCCTTGGTACAAGCTTCATTGCAGCATTGTTATAAAGACTAAAGATAGAGAAACATCTACATACATACTCCTGACTACTTAGGAAGTAACAATTGTATTCTTACCTTTGGACCCTGTTGGTGAAGAAATTTTGCGGGGCCGGGCTCGAATATCATAAATTATTGGATACTGGAACCAAGGAATTCTATGGAGATTAGCAATGATTATAACTGAATGAGATGTAAAAAAATATATCCTATGCCTCTTACTTGGAGATATAAATATTACCACATAACTTACACCTTACACTTTAATGAAAAAAAATTCTGAAGATTTTAAGAGCACTATTTTAACAAAAACAGAAATTATATCAATGCGAGGGTTTTCTTCAGGGAAACTTAAAAAATATCTTGCCAAGCTAAAGTAATGTCAAATTAAATTTGGGGGAAAGAGGATATATTTGGAAACGTTGGTATGACAATAATATTGGTTTGAAATTCCATTAAATACTTTTTTTCTCCCTACTACATCACCCAATCCCCTAGACCGGGGTTGTCAAACTCCTGGCCTGCGTGCTAGATACGTCTTGTGTTGGCCATGCCCACACACCCCGTTTAGTGAAGGAGGGAAAGTCTCAATACATCATGTGACACCGCCATGACGATGTGAGTTTGACACCCCTGCCCTAGATGAGTACCTGAAATGAAGTCCCTCTGAAAGAATTGTATCCTGCTGAACTCCACCAATGCGGTTGAAGAATATTGCTCTTTGACCCCCTTCCACTGCAGAAATCAAAAGCATTCTGGTGTTATCATCAACAGTTGAACAAACGAAAGAGGTTAAAGAATTAGAATAAAAGTTACCTTACCTGTAAAGACAGACTCCCGGATTCCATAGGCTGCAGCTCCAGCACCCAAGAGCAACTTTAAAGCAGTGCTCATCCCACGCGGGCCAGTAGGCAGGCGGCCAGCAAAGTCCTTCAGGCTCTGAGCCATGGCAACCTTATTATGGAGGCAGGTTCACTATTATACAATTACACAATTCTGCAAAATTAATCTGATTAAGTTTGGAGAAGTGGACTGGTGTGCTTAAAGTATTTTAGGTATGCAATTATCTCGGGATAAAGAATTCTGCACTGAGAACCACATCAACACGAGCAATGCTAACCATAAAGGTTGTGTGTGTGTGTGTGGTTTTTTGTGTGTGTTATGATAAAGCAGCTCTTCTTAACGCTAGGAAGCAAAAGTTAAGTTTTCATTAAGAAACATCACCTCGTGCAGAAGTTGCACCCCGGGGTAATGCAGACGAATTCAGCCCCCACTGACTTCGTTCAGTACAGCAGTTAAATCATGAATAAAATCCCCCCATTCCGCAGCCCGCCCCTTGTCTGAACGGTCTCATTATTAAAGCACCGAATCAATCAGCCGCTCCCTTCCCCGACATGCCTGCGGCCCTTTCACTAAAGAGAATTTATCCTCGGAGCAGCAGGCTCTAAAAACGCTCCAGTTGCTCCACTCAGAAAACCTCGCGGCAGCCGCCTCCGAGGACAACCAACCCTCACCCTCGTTCGCAAGTCACGCCGCCGCGCCGGAGAGAAGGACACAGGAAACGGCGGGCTCCGAAAAAGCACTTCCGGGGCAGGCGGCCGCGGCCGGAAGGGGTTTTTCCCTGGCGCAAGCGTGGCCTTCGAGCGCCCCGAGGCGGCTAATGTCCTTCGAACCCCGGAAGCCTAGTGGCGTTTGTTCATTTGCGGCCTCGGCCCCTCTGGAAACGCGGGGCTTGGTTTCCATACGGGGCTGCTCGAGCGCCTTGAAGCGAAAGGACAGTTGGGGAACAGGAAGTGGCTGACCCTGGAAGAGGAAGCCGCTGAGCCCGTGGAGAAAGGCGCGAGGTCGCCTCTTTAAAGATGGCGGCGAGCCCCGCGAGGAAGCGTCCCCATGCGGAGGGAGGCTCTGCGGACGGCGAGGGGTTTGATCCCCGCCGGGCCGGGAAGAGGCGGCTGGTGGTGATCCTGGAGGGGGCGTCTCTGGAGAGCGTCAAGGTGCGGGGTAGGCGCTGCTGTCCGCTGTCCGCGAGAGTGTTGCGCAAACTTTGAAGCCCGGGGAAGAAAAGTACGGAGGAGGGTCCGGGAGGCGAAGCGGCTTTAAACTTCCCTTCCGAAGCAGTCGCCGAAGTCAAAAGCTGCTTCGGATTGGGCGGGAGTGGCTGCTTCACCTTTCCCTGAAATACGTTGGGTAATTTAATCTGTGCGCGGGACAAAGATCCTATTCTGATGGCAGCATTTAGGGTCATAACTTAGTATGGGATGCAGAGGTCTTAGTTTCTGAAAATACTGTGTCAGACTAAGAGTAAAGATTCTATTGAGAAATAAAATTGCCACTTCCTCCCACAAATTCAACTTATGGAGTGTCATAAGATGCGCGATACAGAACATAAATGTCTCTTGCTCATGAACCAATGGTGTAGAATCAGACTGTTCAGAAGCCACCTAGAAAAATTTATCTTGTAGTATGGATGGGAGCTTTTCCTAATTTGGCACTGTTTTATTGCTTTAAGGTTGGGAAAACATATGAATTGCTTAATTGTGACAAGCATAAATCCTTGCTTCTGAGGAATGGCAGAGACCCTGGAGGAGTTCGACCAGACATCACCCATCAGGTATTCTATGCAGGTTTAAGTCCAGTTTTATGGCCCACCTCTGTTTCTGAAATAGGAATTGGGAAGTTACATAAATGAAAAGGCAAGAAACTAATGCAGATAATTCTTTTTTTTTTTAATTTAGAGCCTCTTGATGCTCATGGATAGTCCTTTGAATCGAGCTGGCCTTCTCCAAGTATATATCCATACAGAAAAAAACGTTCTTATTGAAGTCAATCCACAGACAAGAATTCCTCGCACCTTTGATCGTTTTTGTGGTCTTATGGGTAAGAAATGCAACTAAGATACACCACCCTGAATTAAGTATACTGAGCAATGTTTGTCTGTGGATCTTTGTTGACTATTAAACTAGTCTAGTTTGGGATCTTTTACTGATACAGGTGCACACTGTCTTGCAGAATGTTTATATGGGGTAGTCTATATAGTTATATCTGGAAATGTTATCTTATAACCTGTCCATCATTTAGTGTAACATACTAAAACAATGGATTTTACAGTACTGTTTCTGGAACATATTTGCATTTTTGTTGAGTGTGGAAGTATAAGATATTTTGTATTTAGTACAAGAAGTAGGATCTTAAACAGGATCAAGCAAAGGGTTGGAATTATCCTGGGGATTGAACAATAAAAAGTTAAAGTTCATTGTAGTTTACATGTAATTATAATTGAACTAAATACATGGATATGATTATGTTCCATCTATTTTACATTTATGTGATTAACATTTTACCATGTGGCACTATTTTTAAAAGGGTCAAAAGCTCCATATATAGTCCTGAGTCTTACAGTCAGTTGTGTTTTACATTGCAAATGTGAATCCATGCGATCTCTTAATGGGTAGACAACCTGGCTTTCTGTATGATTCTGCATTTTATCAGTCAATTGGTCTGATAGGAAGGCTAGAGAGCCATCATCTGGGTTTAAAGTAATTTTATTAAATCACTTTACTTTTCTGGGGCTGATAAATGGATATTAGCTTTCCCTGTCAGGTCATATTTAATTAATAGGTAGTGAATTGTGCAGTGTGGGTTCCGGACAGTACGGCCCCATATGGCCGTACCGATAGTAGCCGGGTGCAGCAGCCACCATACCAGTACGGTGGCTTGTTTGGCCCGCACACACGCATTCCATAGCTGTTTATAACGCGACAGGGCCAAGTGAGCACGTGCACACAGCATGCAGTACTTGCGCAACATCCGCCAAGCAGCTGGGTGTCGCAGGGCGGTGGCGTGTGCATGCGTGAGTACCGCATGTGCACAACTAGGACACCCGGCCCCATGTGCAGTGTAACGGTTGCGATGGGATCCGGAACCCACCACTGGAATTATGCATTAGTTTGTGGAAATAGAAAATATTCTGATAACCACTGCTTGTATGGGATAGTTGCAAGCAATTAACCATATGTGCTTCTGTATTCTCAATGTTTCTTGGTCTCTCCTTAGTTCAGCTGCTGCATAAGTTTAGTGTCAGAGCTGCTGATGGCCCTCAAAAGCTATTAAAGGTAATAATTCTACTATGATTCTAGAGGAAATTAATTAGGTATGTTTCTATTACCAACTTAATCCAGCTTTTCTTCTGTAGGTGATAAAGAACCCAGTGACAGATCACCTCCCTGTGGGCTGCACAAAAATTGGCACCTCTTTCTCAGCCCCCAAGGTGACAGACATGCGTGACCTAGTCCCTACTTCAGAGCCTATAGCCATAATCGTGGGAGCATTTGCTCATGGATCGGTAAGGCCTGTATATGTTCTTAGACTCTCTTATTTGCAAGCCAGTCATCTCATCTCCATCTTAATTGAGGTTCTGGCAGCAAAGGTAATACAGATAGCCCTTGATTTACAACCACAATTGACCCCAAAATTTCTGTTGCTAAGCAAGTCATTTGTTGAGTGAGTTTTGCCCATTTTACAATCTTTGTTGTCACATTTGTTAAGTGAATCACTGCCGTTTTAAAGTTAGTAGCACAGCTTTGAATTGGATTTGGCCTCTCCATTAACTTTGCTTATCAGAAGGTTGCAAAAGGTAACATGACTTCAGGATACAGCTACTGTCATAAATATGAGTCAGTTGTCATGCATCTGAATTTTGATAAATGGTTATGGGGAGGCTGTAACAGTTGTAAGTATGAAAAATGATGTTATATTTTTCAGTGCTTTTGTATCTTTGAACAGTCACTAAATGAATTGGTCTAAGTCAAGGGCTACCTATATGCGTGATAGCGAACCTATGGCGCACGTGCCACATTTGGCATGCAGAGTCATATCTGAGGGCACACGAGGCATTGCCCTATGTCAGCTCCAGTGCTGGCCAGCTGATTTTTTCGGCCTTCTAGAGGACGGAGGGAGGCCATTTTGGCCCTTCCTTCGGGTAGGCTCATAGGGCCCGTTTTTCCCCATCCACAGGCTCTGGAGGCTTTCCTGAAGCCTGGGGAGGGCGAAAAATGGCCCAAAGTGGCTACCGGAAATCCGGAGGCTTCAGTGAGGCCTCTGTGTGCATGCAGGGGGTGTGTAGCACCGGGGGGGGGGGGGGATTGTGCATGCATGCGCTGGAGGGAGAGCCAAGGTGGCGCAGTGGTTAAATGCAGCACTGCAGGCTACTGCTAGATCAGCAGGTCAGCGG